GAAATATGACCTAATATCAAAATTGCAGTTGCTAGCTGTGAAGTGCCACTTTGAGTACAAAGTTAAGAAGTCAAATAAGAGCATTCATACAATTGTTTATACTGATGAAAATTGCAAGTGGCGCTTACGAGCAACCAAGATCGTAAAAAGTCCCATTTTTGAAGTTCGAAAGTACAATGGTCATCATTCTTGCTCCATGAGTGTTCATTACGGAGATCATAGGTATGCTTCATATATGATTATTGGAAACCACATTGCTCCTAAGTATGAAGATGTCAACGAGTTTACAAACTAATGGACATTATTAATGACATTCGTCGAGAGTTTGGCATAACCGTAAGCTATACTAAAGCATACATGGCTAAAAATTTTGCTTGTGGACTGATTCGTGGGAAATCCCCTGAGAGTTATGCGAAATTGCCAGCATATTGTCATATTTTGGAGATACAAAATCCTAGTACACTGACATTCATTCATACTAATGATGATCAACACTTCAAGTACTTTTTTATGGCATTGGGACCAAGTATACATGGGTTCCTCAACTCAATGCGAAAGGCAATTTCTGTAGATGGTGCATTCTTGACGTCGAGAACGAAAGGTACTCTACTCATAGCAACTTCTCAGGATACAAATTTTCAAATATATCCACTCGCATTGGGAGTAGTTAATTCGGAGAATGATGAATCTTGGACTTGGTTCTTTCAGAAGTTGCGATTAATAACAGGTGATACGGATGACCTTGTGATTATATCTGACCATGCAACATGCATAAAAAATGGAGTTAGAAATGTGTTTCGATTTACTCATCATGGTAATTGTACATATCACTTGTAAAATAACTTGAAGACAAATTTTTCACGGTGTGATGTTGCAACATTGTTTAGGGCAGTGTCGGAGGCTTATACTGTAATCGAATTTGAGTCCTACATGTCAGCTCTATGCAGTAAAAAGGATGGCATCAAAGAGTATCTATTAGAAGAAGATTTTCATTATTGGGCTAGAGCGCATTTTACCGGAATACGTTACAATATCATGACTATGAATAATGCTGAATCTATAAATGGTTGTTGAGGAGTGCTCGAGAACTTCCCATAGTTTGTTTAATAGAATATATTCGTGGGATACTTCAAATGTGGTTTTATGAAAGACATGTTGAAGCAGAAAAATGTGTGACCCAACTCACGCCAGTTGGTGACAATTTAGATCACTACTTTGTGAATTTTTACGAAATGAAATGTACGTGTAGAAAATTTGATTTGAACAAGTTCTCATGTGCGCATGCAATTGCTGCCGCAAGGTTTAAAGAAGACGACGGTTATAAATTATGTACCCCCTTTTACACTAATATTTGTTAGGAGCAAGCTTATTCGACATTCGTACATCCTTTGCTGAACGAGGTCGAATGGCAAATTCCTAAAAATATAATAGCCAAAGAAGTATTTCCACCATTGATATGAAGACAGGACGGACGACCGTCAAAAAAGAGGAAAAGGACGGTCGGAGAGACGCCTGAGGCTCATAAATGCAGCAAGTGCAAAAAAACTGGTCATGTTCGACCCACTTGCATAGGCCAAGCAGCTAGTAGTGAACCTTAAGATTGTAACACTATCGTATCTTGTAAATATACGACTTTGTACCTGTTATTTCAACTTAATGAAATGACTTATTAGATTTTGTAGTCATTGTATTATTAAAATATTTTTGTACCTTGGAATCAAATTAAAGTATTTTAGGTATTCATGTTTTTTTTTCTCACAGCGAAGGCAAACTACGTTCACGTCGTTACAGTAGACATGAATGTCGTTCCAGTTCGAAAATTGAACAGATTAACATAACAAGTTATAATTCATTCCTGAGATACAAAACGGCATGCATATTATTTCAATATTAAATACACACTGCTTCTTTGAATTGCGTAACGACGTAGAACTCGTTATGACCATACATAACGACTTTGAAGTCGTTTCAGTTAAAATTAATACTAAAACGAGTTATAACTCGTTCCTGAGACACAAAATGACATACATATCGTTTCAATGTTAAATACACACTACTTCTCTTTGCGTAACGACGTAGAACTCGTTATGACCACATATAACGACTTCGAAGTCGTTTAAGTTAAAATTAATACTAAAACGATTTGAAACTCGTTTCTGAGACACAAAACGATATGCATATCGTTTCAATGTTAAATACACACTGCTTCTCTGATTTGTGTAACGACGTAAAACTCGTTATTACCACACATAACGACTTCGAAGTCATTTCATTTAAAATTGATATTAAAACGATATCGAACCTTTTCGTGAGACACAAAACGACGTTTACATCGTTTCAATGTTAAATACACACTGCTTCAGTGCTTAACGAGGGTTGGGCGCATATCATTTCTTCTCGTTCAGAATGACATTAATATCGTTCTAATCTAATCGTTCCTGAAATAACATCCATCTCATTTCATTACAAACCTGCCGAGTTCGAAATCGTTT